ACGCCCGCTCCCCCCAGAAGCAAGGCCCAGGCCGTGCTCATGCTGCAGAGGCTGCTCTGGGACCTGCTCTAAACCCCTGCGCTGTGAATTATTCCGCTGTTTGCAGCAAATGCGAAACTCCAGGCAGATTTTCTACCTTCGGGTTTCTCGCCAGACAACTTGGAAGTGACACAGTGCCCTGCGTCATGGCATGTTGCTACCTCCCAAGAAACACTACTTTTCCTATAAAATAACAAAAACGAAACAGCAGGTCAAGAGTAGAAAGTACGAAAATACTATTCCTGTACACGCAGCTCTTCAAGACAAACGCACGAGCTGTACCCCAGAAGGTGCTTTCTGTGAGTGCATGGAGCACACTTCCAGGTGACACATGTGAGTGAGGGCCGTGAACCAGGACACGGCCCCGCAGGACGAAGGGACCTGAAGCACGGCGCGCGTGGAGCGGGTGGGAGTGAGGTCTGGGAGGTCTGAGGTCACGCACTCAGTGGAGGGCCATGGCTCAGTTCAGCCTCGCCAGACTCAGAGCCGGCGGCCTTGTCTACCTTGCCCCACCCTCCCGCGACCAGGCCATCACCGGCTGCCGACACACAAGCCGGTGGCTCTTCCACCTGAGAGATGCCATGTGTCCTTGGCGTGTCTTGAGTCAGGGTGGACTTCCGAGTAAGCTTGTAAGTCACAGCACTTGCTGAATACAGCCTGCCAGGACACCTGCCGCCCTGTCCCTGTCCTGTTCCCTCCGGGAGACCTGTCCCCGTCCTGTCCCCGCACTCCCGTCAGTCACCCTCTGTAAGCACCTGGAAGAATTAAGAGTGACCAGGACAAAGCACTCGGGCACGATCATCCAGGAGGGAGGAAAGCAGTGGGGACATGCTCGCTGGTCGGGAAGCCGCCGTGTGTCCTGACCACACCGGCACTATCACGCCAAGGTCGGGGCGATCCGCGTCTACGAAAACGCAGCACATCCAGTGTGTTCACCGCTCCCCACATTTATCACGCCCTTTGTAAAATTTTTTAAAGTTTTTGCTATAGGGCACATGTGCTCGCTGGGGAGAGAGGGAAAGTGTAAGTGAGAAATTGTCCCCCACACAATCCCTTCTCTTCTACTCCTCTCAGGATTTGGGACACACACCAGGGGTGTTTTTCAAGATGCCGGGTCCAGGACTTGAACCGCGCTGTCGATCACGTGGGATCTGGCCATTTTCACCACCATACCACTGACTGGCCCCACTCATTATTTCTCTGCGGTGAAAACATTCGAAATCCTCTACTGTGGTTATTTGAAATGCGCTCTGTGTCACCCACGGTTACCCTACTGTGAGAGAAGGCCGGGCCCCTTCCCCCAGCTCACCGCACCCCAACCGCAGGCCAACCTCTCTCGGACCTGCTGTCTCCACTCCCCTCTCCAGCTCTGTTAACCGTGATTTACTCTCAACCTCTATCAAAACATCATGATGCACCCCTAATCACGTACAATCACCTCCAGTCAATATTACAAATAACGAACACAGAGGCGTGAAAACATACCGTGTGGCCAGAGCATGCGACCCCAGAGGAGCCCTGCAGAGCCCCGGGAGTGCGGCCCAGAGGGGTCACAGACAGCGCATAGGCCTGGGCCCTCTCCGGGGTGGGGCACGACGCCAACCATGCTATGCAGCTATGCAACAACAGGAACTGGTCGTGACTGGTTTCTCTCTTCCAAATCAAGCTTCTAAAAGTGGATGCAAGTCAAGGAGTCACACCCAGCCCTGTAACTTCGGCAAACAACGTTGCTGGCATGCGACAGCACTGGACACCGTGGGGACGCGATGCCCGGAATGTGACACCAAGCTGTCCCGCTGGACCTCTGCAGCTGCTGAGTCATGGTGGACATCCGAATAAGCTGGACTCTTCTAGAGCCTCATTAAGGATTTGCTCATCCCAAAGTGAGGAAACACATTACATCGAGTGTTACGAAATGGTCCAAGAATGTGAGTTTTAAGGGCAGAATTAAAATGAGACCTCCAGGTCTATGCTGCAAATACTGCATTGCAGGCCAGCGTCCGTACCTGCACAGCTGTGTCCGCTGCCCTTCCACACACACTCGCACAGCCTGGCCTAAGGAGGCCAATCTGCGATTACAGCTCTCGACACCAGAGCTTTGTGTGAACAGAGGCTAGTCCGGTTACTTCCGAGCGATACAGAGATGAAGGAGGATTTGCACAGAGAGACGGCAATTTTCACCAAGCCACGCTTCTTCTGATCATGACAAACGTGAAAGCTTTCAAATTAGATATGAGCCGGGGGGGAAGCATGCTTTCAAAACAGACCTTTCTATACGCAACATACGTTAAAAACAGTTAAGACAAAATAAGGGGACCAGCAGTTGGTGTAATGGCTGTCGCTGGACTCCCATGTAGTCGACCGTGGTTCCAGTCCCAGACCCGGTGGCTTAAACTCACCCCGGGCGCGTGTGCGTGTGTGCCCAAGATCCTGAGAGGAGAAGGGATTGCAGCATGGCCATTCCCCTGGGGGTTGATTTCTCGCTTTCTGTCTCTCTGTCTTTCTCTGTCTTTCTGGTGAGTGCACACGCCCTATAACAAAAACCTCTCCAAAACGAAAAAAAAAAAAAAAAAAAAGAGTGTGATCGATCAACTGTAGTGCATGGCAGTGGGGACAAAGCTTACAAGGCCAGTCTTGTTTTCAGTCTTTTACTTTTTTTTTTTTTTTTGGAGAGATTTTCACTGTAGGGCGCGTGCGCTCGCCAGACAGACAGAGAGAGACATAGAGACAGAAAGCGAGAAATCCCCCCCCGGGGGGAGGGGGGTCACACCACAATCCCTTCTCCTCCATTCTCCTCTCGGGATCTTGGGCACGCACACACACGCGCCCGGCATGAGTTTTAAGCCACCGGGTCCGGGACACGAACCGCGGTCGACTACGTGGGAGTCCAGCGACATAGCCATTACACTAACTGCTGGTTCCCCAGTCTTTTACTTTTAAAAACGCTTTAACTTATACTCCAGAATCCTTCTGTAGGAACCTCATCAATAAAAACTCTTTAGTTATTACTGCATTTCAAAGAATACTGAACTTTCCTGAGGCAGTTTTTAAACCAGATTCTTGATTCGCTGGGGTAACAGCACTGGCAGTGACTCTAAAGAGAATTCTGAAAAGGAAGAGAATTCTGAAAAGGAAGGGAATTCTTAACATAAATGTAAGAACAAAAGCAGGGTTAATTCACCTAATGGAACTAAACTTCGGTTCAGATCCTCAAGGCCCCCTTTAAAAGAAAAATCAGGCTTAAGGAGAACTTCTCTATAGTTCTTTTTATTATTTTATTTCTTTAGGAATTTGTATCAGGTCCTCGGAAAAGTCATGACACATTTTTGCATAAAAAACACAGAAAAGGTGTCACGACTTTTCCAATGACTCCCATTAAGGGAGCCCGAGTCTATTTCCCAGAGGTCTGGGGAACAGCTGCCTCAGGACACCCCTGAATCTGCTCCCAAGTCCCTCCAGGTTCCTTCAGTCGAGGGTCACCTTGCACCCCAAAGACACCATCTCTCACAACCAGCTGGCATCGCTCGGGCTGTCGGGCATGGCCCTGGCA